CCGATCGCGTCCACGCGCTGGATGGCGGTGCGACACTTCCTAGACACTTCCTAGACACTTCCTGGATGGCGGTGCGACACTTCCTAGACACTCCCTAGACACTTCCTGGATGGCGGTGCGACACTCCCTAGACACTTCCTAGACACTTCCTGGATGGCGGTGCGACACTTCCTAGACACTCCCTAGACACTTCCTGGATGGCGGTGCGACACTTCCTAGACACTTCCTAGACACTTCCTGGATGGCGGTGCGACACTTCCTAGACACTCCCTAGACACTTCCTGGATGGCGGTGCGACACTTCCTAGACACTTCCTAGACACTTCCTGGATGGCGGTGCGCGACCACGCGGCGACGGGGTCTCTGTGGGAGTGGAGTGGCCGCGGGACGGGACGACGGGCCAACCCCGCCCCTCACCGCCCCTCGCCCCTGCCTCCCTCTCTCCCTTCTCTCTCAGGCGAGCGAGATGCCCGACGGCGAGTGGGCGACGCAGTACTGCCCGATTGGCATGCACTGTGGCTTTGCGAAGAACGGCTGCCCGGTCCGGCTTCCTAGACACTTCCTAGACGCGTCCTAGACACGTCCTAGACACGTCCTAGCCACTTCCTAGAACGGCTGCCCGGCCCGGGCTGCTCGCCACCCTTTCACTCGCCCCTCTCGAGGCGGGCGGCGAGGGCCCATTCCCGAGAGGAGAGGCGTCGACCGCCGGGGAGTACGCTCGCAGGTCAAGATTGAGCGGCTGGGCCGCTTCGACCTCAAGGGCATCACGAGCACGCCAAACTACCGCAAGAAGCTCAACGCCTTCTACCTGGGGCTCGTGGATTGCCTGCAGCGGCGGCTCGACCAACACGCGGCCGACACGGCCAACCTGACCGAGGGTCAGACGTACGAGATCTTCGACCTCGCGGGACTGGGCACGCACATGCTCACCTTCTCCGCGCTCAACTTCACGAAGGACGTGCTCTCCGCCTTCGCGACGCACTACCCGTCCTCCTTCCGCAAGGCGACCGTCATCAACGCGCCCGGCTTCGCCAACGGCGCCTGGCGGATGGTCTCGACGGTGCTGCCAAAGTCGGTCAAGGAGAAGGTGCCTCTGCCATGGCCGCCCTCCGTACTCACACGCGGCTCGCTCGAGTAGAGGAGAGGTCGAGGGCGAGAGAGGTAGACTGAGCCTCGCGTCCTTCTCGCGGCATGAAGGTAAACATCATGGGCGCGGACTACATGGACGTGCTGCGCGCGGAGCTAACCGAGGAGGTGACCACCCGCGCTGCGACCGCGCTCAAGCCCGCCGCGCGCACAGCGCTTCCTTGTGCCCGGCCCGTGAGGGCGTTGGGCTGAGCGGCGCCCCGCCCCCCGCCCCCCTGCCCCCCCACCGCAGGCGCTCTACTGGGTCGACGCGCCAAACGAGGAGCTGGTGCACGCGCCTCGCCGAGCCGGCGAGGCGGTGCCCGAGCCGAGAGAGGAGGCGGCCGGCGCGCCCGCGGTCGCCGCGATTGGCGACTCGCCTCGCGACGGCGCCTCCCCGTGAGGGCGGCCAGAGCGCCACCACCGGGCGCGGCAGCAGCTCGGGCTCCGTGCAGCAGCTCGGGCTCTGTCGCGCCGTGTAGCGTGGGCGGGTGGTGGTGGTGCGGTGCAGGTATGCGGCCGAGGAGGTCCAACGAGGCTTCTAGCGGTGCAGAGGAGGGTGCAGCCAGTATATGCCCGCCGCACGGCCCGGGGCTCGTTGGACTTGGAGGGACGTGTGGCTGTGCGGGGGGGCGAGGTGCGCCGACGCACGTAGTTGAAGGCTGTTTAGGTGGTTGCGCGTTGCGCCAATGCGTGGCAATGAGCACATTTTGTCTCGCTGACCCGCGAGCCGGGTATGCTCAATCGTGTGCGAGCGCGGGGGCGCGGGCGCGGGCGGCGCCGCGCCCATTAAGCATTACTCATTACATCCATGTCGTGTTAGAAAAACAGTGCACCGCGGCGCGTGCCGGTTAAGGTTGCACGCAGCCCAAATCCCGCCGGCGGTGGCACAAATCCTCGCGCAGGTTGCCTCACCCGAGCACCCTCGACATCCACGGCGCGTGGCCTCGCTCCACGTCCATCCGCCCATCGCGGCTCAGCACGCGCGCCGAGCTGCCGTCGGCCGACACTTCGACAACGACGAGGGCGGGGATGGAGGTGACGTCGTACCGGAGGGTGAGCTCGTCGGCGAGGGCGCGCGCCTCGCGCGAGTGCGGCAGCGCCAGCCAGCGCATCCCCGCCTGCCGCGCGTACTCCCTCCGCTCGTCGCCAATCTCGTCCCACGAGACCAGCACCAACTCGAGACCGTCGGGCGGGGATGCGCGTGCGGCGGCCTCGTACAGCTGGACCAGCTTGGGCGTGAAGCGGCGGCACGGCCCGCACCACGACGCAGTGAAGTAGAGCCCGACCACGCGCCCTCGCAGCCGCTCCGCCCCCGGCGCATCGGCCGCCGCGCTACCAGTCGCCGGTTCGAGGCGTGAGCTGCCGAGCACCTCACCCCACGGGACTGCGGCTGCGGCACGCACCGCCGAGGCTCGCGCGCCGCGCACGGCGGCCTCTGTGTCCGAGACCGCCTCTGTGAGGCTCCGCAGCTCTGCCGGCCTGACGCCCTGACGCTCCTTCCACGAGTTTGCGGCGGACGCGAGCGAGTCACTCAGCGCGGCCTGGCGCCTCGCCAGCTCGTCCATGGCCGTGACGCCGGCGTGCTGCCGCCAAGCAGAGCGCGCACACCGCTGCAGCATCTGCGGAGGATCGCTCAGCACCGCCCGCGCGCGGAGGGCGGCTTCACGCAGCTGGACGGCGGCGCGCACGTCGTCGTCGGCGGCGGACGCAGCGTGGCGAGGACGAGCCGAGGATAGCGTCGCAGCGGCCGCCGCGGCGGCCGTCGCAGCGGCGGCAGCTCGAGCAGTGCGCATACGCAACTCGGAGCTGTCTCTCAACTTCTTGGCGAAGCCGCGGTGGCTTGTTCACAGCCTTGTGATCTGTGATCTGTGAGGGTCCGCCCGCAGGCGCATTTTGTATACCGAGGCGGTGCCCGGTGCCGAACCTGTCGGACCTTAAGACAGCGTTGTAGATCCCTGGGCGAGGGTGGTGGCGTCCCCGTCGGGAGGGGCTGTCTGGCGGAGGAGAGCAACCAGGTGCCCGGCGGCGTCCCGCCACATCCGGATGACCTCTCCTCCTCGTGCCAGTCAGCCCCGTTGGAGGTAGGCCGCTCGTCTAGCCAATCAGCCTTAAGCGAGCGGCCTGGCCGTTGGAATGGCCGAGAGTGTCGGCCGGCCGTTCGGTCTCTTCCCCGGGGGGGGCCTCAATGACCTAGTTGCCCGGCCGAGAAGGGGAGGACGACTGTCCCTGACGGCGAACCTCAGTTACGAGCCGCCCTCCCCTCGAGACGCGAGGCCAGCGCACTTGGGGCCGAGCCCCAGCGTGCACCGCCCCACACGCCTCACGCGGCCTCTGGCTGGAGCGGGATCGCAAGCGAGTCCCCCAGGCCGGCGCGCGTCTTCCGAGGGAGGAGCGGGAGCGAGGGACCTTCTTAGTTGTCCGGCATGCAGGCGCATGCACGGCCGTTCAGAAATTTTCCCAGCCGTTGGAATGGCTGCGCTCCCGCCCCTCACCGGGCCGCGAACGGGTAGTAGACGTTGGCGCCGAAGAGGGAGGAGTCGCCGAAGGTCGGGTAGTCGTCGGTCATGCGGGGGGAGGAGGAGTCGGCGAGCAGCAGGGAGGAGAAATGCCTGAGAGGGTGGGGGGGAGGCGTGAGGCGCAAGGTGAGGGGCGTGGGGGCGCGGGGCGCGGGGCGTGCGTGGGACGCGAGGCGTGAGGCGCAGGGCGTGGGGCGGGAGGGCGCGGGGCGCTCGAGTGAGGGCAGGGTGTGTTGTGTGTGTGTGTGAATGTGTGTGTGTGTTGTGTGTGTGTGTGTGTTGGTTTGTTTGTGCGAGGGCTGGGCAGGGCAGGGCAGGGCGGCGGCGAGCGGCGAGCGGCGTCGGCGAGTTCGGCGACGAAGAGAGGCGATGGTGACGTACACGGCGGCAGTGTTCACGGCAGCAGCGCCGGTGGCGGCCCCGCGCAGCGGTGGCGGCGCCCTGAGTGAGGCAGACTGCCCTGCACAGCCTGCTGGGAATGCTCCCGACGAGCGGCGCGCCATGCGGGCCCGCCGCGGGCGACGCGGGCGGCGAGCCGACACGCGTGTCGCCGGCGTAGACAGCACTGGCGAAGTGAGGCGGCTGGCGCCGGCCCCGGAGGCGGCTGCAGTAAGAGCAGCGAGGCAGAAGTCACTGTCCATAGCGTACTTGAGCAGGCTGCCATCGAGCAGCGCGCAATGCGGGCCTGCCGCCGGCGACGAGATTGGAGAGCCGACAGGCATCGAAGGGGTAGGTACTGAGGAGGGCCATCGCGCCCGAGGCGGTCCGCGCCGGCCCTGCAGGCCGTCTCAGAGAGCCTGGCGAGGCTGTACAGAATGCCGAGAGCATACTGGGCAGGCTGCCGTCGAGCGACGAGCCATGCTGGCTCGTCGCAGGCGGTGAGGTCGAGGAGCCGATCGGAGCGTCGCAGAGGCTGCCGACCACTGCTGTTCGCCCTCGGGCCCAGGGGTGGAAGGCAAGCTTCCTGGCGTTTCTGGCGAGCGTCCAGACGTCGCAGAGCATCCGGCAGGCGCGCAGCGACCCAAATTTTTGCTCACCGCACGGCCGTGCGAGCCGTCGGTCGGTGGTGATGGTCGGCGTCGGCGCGCGCCGCCCAACGCGGCGGCGGTGGGCGTCATGTGGCGGGCGTGGGAAAGAGCATTGTCCGAATTGCGGCGGACGTCCTTTCACCTCACAGCCTTGTTATGAGGAAGAAAATACGTCCGCTGGCGCTATGTGAACGCATAGCGCCAGCCTTGTTAGAGAATTTTACGACGAAACTCTCTCGCACGACACCGGGTACGGGACTGGCACTACAAAGGACACAGCAGACGGCCCCCTCATGTTATTGAGAAGGAAATACGTCCTTCACACAACAACACAACCCCGGGACCCAAGACGCACAAGCACAGACAGTCGGCTTGTTCACAGTACACAGATAGGTTGATAAGAAACAAATAAACCATATTGCAGACAGTGAGGGTGTGAGAGGCGGACCTATAGGAAGAAGGTCCTACATCTCTTTACCACCCCTGACCGAGCTCCCGCTCGACAGAGCTTGGTACGATTTCTAGCAATGCTCTCCGTCCTCGACATTTGATGTTGTCTGTAGGCCCGGATGTGATGTGTGTGATCTGAACTGCCCTATTGATCTCTGAACACAGATTAGCAGCCCGTCGGCACGATGACGTCGCCCTCAAACCCGTTAAATGATGACACCCCCAAATCCGCGGGCCGCCCCTGCACGACATCCACCTGCACCACCTCGATCTTGTGCAGCTCGGTGCTCCCGTCCCTGGGCCCGCTTCCGTCGCAACGGCGCTCCTGCGCAACGGCGGCCATCCTGGCGTTGATGCGGTCCTTGAAGCCATCCGTGGCGTAGTAGCACTCGATGCGCCGCAACACCCGCTGCTGAAGGGCGGGGTCGCTACTGATAAAGCCGACCGCCACGTAGCCGCGCAGAGCGTCGAGGTTTGCCGGCTCCATGTCGTAGCCGCTAGCCCAGTTGCAGTTGCCATTGCAGATGCCTGTCACTGGGTCACAAGCTCCATCCCCATAGCTCAGGCAGCCGGCGGGCTGGGGACAAGAGTCGCAGCAGATGCGGCACGCATTGCGGAACGCTTGGTCGAGGCACTCGTTATCGCAGACACGCCCGAATGAGTTCGACGAGAACGTCTGGATACACGGTTGGCTATTGGAAGTGCCACACGTCCAGGGCGCGTGTCTCGCCTTGTACGCCTCATTGTAATCGCATTGGCTGCTGGCTGTGTTCGTGCCCACCTGTGGCGTCGGGACAACACTCGCGCCGTACCTGTCCTCGCACTGCACAGTTAGATGCCAGAGGTTCACCTTTAGCCCACCAAACGCCCCATGCGTTTCGTCCACGAGGTAGTCGCCAACCTTGCCCCCAGTAGGGTCGAGTGGGTCGAGCGGCAACGCGTTCAGCCCCTCGAGGATGGCAGGTTCCAGAATGTTCTGAGCGAAAGGTCGGCCGCCTCCGTTTGCAGCAAAATTCGACCCCGCATAAAACTTCGCTGTGAGCTCCCCTGGCTGTGTCTGCGGGTCGGGCGCTGGGTCGGTTGTTGGCGGGGTGCAAGGGGTGCCATCGGGCGGATTCAGGAGGCCAAATTTGAGGAATAAATCGGCAAAGAGGATGGTGGGGTTTACGATGCCGCTGATCGCAGGCGTGCACCGCTTCTCGAAGCAGTGGTTCCGCGTCTCCTCGTCCACGTAGTTGATGCCACCACTGGCTAGGTAGTCGGAATTGAGTATCGTGATGCAGACAAAGCTAGGTCCGAGGGTAGGATAGTCGGAGTTCTCGGTCTCTGTCATGTAGCCGATGCAGTCCAGGTTCGCGCTGCACTCCGCCTCGCAGTCGTGGTGTGTGCCGTCGTTGGCGGGCGGCGAGGCCAGGGGGAACTGCCATGTGAACGCCGGATTCCACTTGATGCGGGCGCTGTCGTCGAAGCAACGCTGAAGGTTGCGGCTTCCTGCCGGCTGTTGCATCTCCTCAGCCTTGCAGGCCGGTTCGAGCGCATCGGCAAAGGGGTCGGAGAGGCAGTAGCCGTTGCCCACCAGCGCGTAATCGATTTGGCATGGGGCGACCACGCGAATCACGGGGAGAGAGTCGAACTGCACTTGGCTGTGACCAGGCAGCTGCTGCAATATGTCGGCGAGCAATTGGTTGGTGGTCTTTTCGTAGACATCGGTCGCGCTCGGCCAGTCGGGAGATGTCACTGTCACCTTGTATTTGTTGCTGCCCAGGTCCTCGAGGCTGATCTGAGCCAGTGTGAGGCTGATACCGGAGCCGGCGTACGCCGCTTGCACGGCACTTTTAAGGTCCGCCGTGGTCACAGTCTGCAGCTCTCGCCTCCGCCCTTGAGTGAGAGAGACCTCGTAGGTGACGGAGGTGGTCATGTTGGAGGGCGGCGAAAACGCGTGTGTGATTACTAGCGGCGCTGGTGGAAGGGTGACCGGGGCCGCTGTGGTTGATGGAGCAGATGGCGAGGCCGTTGGCGAGAGGCTGGGGGAGGCGGTGGGGGTGGCCGATGGTGCTCCCGTCGGGGCCGGAGGCGGTGGGGAGGGTGGTGGTGGCGTCGGAGGCGGCGGTGTGGGGGGCGGCACTGACGGCGGCGGGGACGAGGGCGGTACCGACGGCGGCGGGGACGAGGGCGCGCACCCGGTGCAGCCAGAGCAGCCGTTCCAGCTGCAGAGCATCTCCCACGGGTCCGTCTTGACCGCACAGGAGGGCTTGCACGCATTGCACTCGCCTCTGCAGGCCGAGCAGCCGTGCCATGAGCACTTTATCGACCATGGTTGCGTCTTGGTCTCACAGAATGGCTTGCACTCAGACTCGGCGCCGCACTCGGAGCAGCCGTTGCAGCCCGCCCAGGTGCACTTGTCATCCCAAGCCTGCGTCTTGGCCTCACAGAATGGCTTGCACTCGGACTCGGCGCCGCACTCGGAGCAGCCGATGCAGCCCGCCCAGGTGCACTTGTCATCCCAGGCCTGCGTTTTGTCCTCACAATACGGCTTGCACTCCGGCGCAGGGAGAGAGCACTTGGAGCAGCCGTTGCAACCCCTCCAGGTGCACTTGGCATCCCAAGCCTGCGTCTTGGTCTCACAGAATGGCTTGCACTCGGACTCGGCGCCGCACTCGGAGCAGCCGATGCAGCCCGCCCAGGCGCACTTGTCATCCCAGGCCTGCGTCTTGTCCTCACAGAACGACCTGCACGCCGGCGCGGGAGGGGACGGCGGAGGAAGCATGCACTCGGTGCAGCCGCCGCAGCCGGCCCAGCTGCACCGGGTGTCCCAGGGTTGCGTCTTTGCTGCACAGAAGCCCTGGCATTGTGGCGGGCTTGCAGGCGGGACGTAACATTCGCTGCAACCGTAGCAGCCATTCCAGGTGCAGAGCGACTCCCACGGGTCGGTCTTCTTCTCGCAGAAGGGATTACACTCGCCAGTCACCCCAATAAGCTGCAGCAAAGCAAGGAGGGGCGCTGCCCGTCCGGCTCTGCTGCCCAGCATCGGACAGCGACGAGAAGTTGTGTGTGTATAGGCCGGACGAGCGCCCGGCCGGCGAGACACACTTTACCTTCTCCCCAGCAAGCTAAAAGTAGAGCTCTATGCACCTTCTTCCCACTGATTCATTACACACCAAAAACGCGCGCGAAACTGACATTGTTGTAGGTCTATTGTTGGCAAATCAAGACACAGAGCTCACACAGAGTCACAGCGGGAGGAAAGCGGCGAGTCGCAATCAATTCCTGTGGGCTCCTTGTAATCTTCAAATTTTAGCATAGGCGGCCGCAATCCTCCGGCCAAATGGCTGCGACGGCTGTATGACAGCCATCATGCGGCCGGGCGGATGGCCGGGACACAGCCATCGCAGCCATCGGCCGGAGGATGGCTGCACTGGCTGGAAGGCAGCCAAAATGGCGCGTGCTTGCAGGGCGGAGTGGCTAGGATCCTGCAATTGCAGCCATCCGTGATAAGGATGGCTGGCACGCCTAGATCTCAGCCATCATCGGGTAGGAGTGTATGGCTGAGATCTAGGCGTGCCGGCTCTCTCCGCCTCACATGCGAGGAACTCGGAGGTTGCTCGGAGGTTACACAAAAACACTACTTTGCTGCCCGCGCCTCGCCTTCTCGTTTGCGCGGACCTCTCATCAGCAGTACCGCCAAGATGCTGCGTGCGTGCCAGTCGCACCGCGACTGCGGTCTCGGCGTGTGCAATCCGTGGCGCGGCTGGTGCGAGTGTCCGGTCGGCTGGCGTGGCGCAAGCTGCGAGCAGAGCCTGCTCCCGTCGTGCGTGCTGCCGTCTGGCGGCCACCTTCCCGTGCGCTCGTGGGTGCTCCACGCGTTCCACAACGGCCCCGCGCGTGATCGCTGGGACGACCGCAGCGCCATCGGCCCCGTGGCGTGCGAGTGCCTCGCGGAATGGGTCGCCGCGCCCTTCCTGCTTGAGCGCTCGCGGCTGAATGGCATGCGTGGCTGGACCACGCCGTGCATTTCGCTGGCCGAGTCGGGCTCGGCCGGCGGCGCGTCAAGCTTCGCGGAGGTGCTCGCTCGCCCCAGCTCCGCGGTGTGGCGCCGCTTCTCCTTCGCGGCGGCGCACGACACGCTCCGGCTCGGGCTGACGCCGTCGCTCGCCTCGCGTAACATGGACGAGGAGCTGCCGGCCGTCGCCGCCGTCCTCGCGCCGCTCCGCCAGAGAGCCGCGCAGATCCGGGCGGTCGTCGACCCCGCCGACGCGACAGCGGCCGACTCCTGCCTGCTCGCCGAGCCGCCGCGCCTCCTTCTCAACGGCAGCGCGCCTCCCCTCCCGCTCCTCCCGCTCGGCCGGTGCCCCCGCGAATGCGGCGGCCGCGGCTGGTGTGAGCCGGTGCCAGCGCCGGCGAGGCGACGCCGCCGGCCGTGGCTCTCCTCCACCGGCGCCTCGTCCGCCACCGCCGCGGCCCGGTGCGGCTGCTTCCTCGCAGGCGGCCTTCGGGCGGGCGTGGGCGGGCCGGCCTGTGACGAGGAGCTGCCGCGCCGCGCCGCCGGCCCGCTAGAAGATGGCGCCGCCGGGCCGGCGCCTCACTGGGGCCCTGCGTGCCCTGCCCGCTGCTCGGCGCGCGGCACGTGCGACTGGCAGGGCTTCTGCAACTGCGACGTGGGCTACTGGGGCCTCGACTGCGCCCTCCGCCTCGCCGCGGACGGCAGTCCCGAGGCGGGAAGAGTAGTAGTCGGCAAGCGCATTCATGACTAGCCCCGAGGCGGGATAGTCCCGAGGCGAGAGATGCGCTCTGCGACCCAGGCCACCCAGCACCAGGACACGTCCCTGACGCGTGCTCGGCCCGCCAGGTGGAGGCGCACTCCAACCGGACGCTCGCGCGGCGCGCGGCGCGGCGGAGGCGGAGGGAGGGCGACGAGCGGCGGGGAGGCGAGGCAGGGCAGGGCGCGAGCCGCCCGCCGCGCCCACGCGTGTGGGTCTTTGACATGCCTCCGCAGTTTCGGTTCGGCGTCGACTTCGCCGCTGGCTTCGACGCGAGGCTGCTCGACCGCTTCCTCTCCTCGACGCGGCGCGAGGCGGACCCGTCGAGAGCAGACTACGCGCTGCTGCCCGGCCCGCCGCTCGTCATCGACGGCCACCGCCTTCTCGCGCGGCTGTGGCACGTCCGCTCCCGCTCGCCGCTCTGGCGCGGGCACGCCGGCGCGCGTCACGCGATGACCCTGCTCACGGAGCGCGCGTCGATGGACTCGTTCCAGCTCTCGTACGCGGACCAGGACCGCTAACCCTAACCCTAACCGTAACCCTGACCCTAACCCTAACAGCTCTCTTACGCGGACCAGGACCGCGAGGAGTGGCCTGCGCTCGCGCTCGAGCCGCACGTCGTGGGCGTGCGCCGCGCCTTTGAGGAGCGGCTCCGTGGGGCAGGAGGAGGAGGAGGAGGAGGAGGAGGAGGAGGAGGAGG